CCCTCCCAACCCCCAACCACCAACCCCCGCTCCACCACCATCACTCCCCATCGAAGGTTCATCGAATTTTCATCTCAACTCTTAAACGATCGCGAGCCGAATACTAATAACATGGCCATGGCTGCGAAACATTAATATCGTTAAATAGGTGAAGCGATAATTGGGCCGCGATAAGCTCGTAATTGAACGTTGCATCGGCACTTGGCGAGTGAAAAATCTGCTCGTCCAGCGTCCCGGCGAACTAGGAAACTTTTCCAAACTCGTCGCGCCAGTGGAGGAAGAACTTCTGGCAAGTCCTGTTAAAAAAGACATTTATCAAAGTTCGCCGGTTAGCGTACCTACGTAAGATGAAGTTTCGCGTAGTCTCCGATGTGTACGATGCCGTGCTCGAGGGAGGCTACGTGCAAATTGGCGCCGCATGCACGTGGGTTGATACGAGGATTGTGCAGCTCCGATATTTGCGTGCTGCAAGCTGCCGCGGGCTCGCCGCTTGCTGTCAGATAATTGCCCCAGAATTCATTTCCTAGGCATTAAAATAATGAGCGAGTGAAGTCGAGTTGCAGTTGCAGTTGCTGCGGATTCAAGCGTGGCATTTCCTAGGCTGGCGGCCACTAATGCTTAATGAATTTAATTGCACTTTAGAATAGGAGGCACGCGCGTTTGCCTCGCTAGTGAGCAATTTTGTTTTTACTTATTTTTCTTCGCTTCCTCTTTTGGGGTTTTTTTTTTTTTTTTTTTTTTTTTTTTTTTTTTTTTTCTATAGACGTTGAACCGGTAGATGGCGATTTCGTCAACGTTTTTGCCTCGATTATGTATTTAAATCGAGCCGCGGGAATTACTTACGATAATACGCTCGAAATCTTTGCATTAAGCAGTGATTTCAGTTAAACTCTACCTACATCTGGCCTCCCACTCCCGATACAACAGTGACAGTGCGCTATAATTTTGACATTTTTGGTTTTCCGTAATTTAACAAGCGAAGAACGAATCGAGCTTTAAGAATTATCGAAATAGTCTAGCGAAAATAAGGATCTTACAGCCGTGGAATTTAGTAGTCGGATTGGACACTCGCTAATCTCATACATAAAGCTCTCTGAAATATCTCGGGCTAATGTGCCGAGGAAAGGAACTAACCTGGATAAGAATTTCCATCAGCGGCATAGGTAACAATTAACAATTTATTGGCGTCACTGGAGCGAAACAGTTTCGTTTGAGGCTCCCGCAAAGCGAAATGGATTCTGATATCTGCGAATAAAATTAAAACGTATATTCATCATCCGTGTTAATTGAAAGCTGTTGAAGTTTCGAAGAACCGACCACCGAGATAATCCCCATTGCCGGCTCCGCCGCACTTCTGCTGGCGGAAATACGAAAACATAATGTCCGACACGTATCTCAATTTCTTGTTCATCTTGCGCAATGCGATTTCGAAAGTCTTCAAAAAATAGACCTCTTGGTCGTGAATTATCTTCCATACTCCTGGAAAATTAAGTAATCGTTATTATTTGACAATCGGTATTATTCGACCGAATTGCGGCCGAGTTCCGTGATGGTGGTGGTGGTGGAGGTGGCGGTGGCAGTGGCGGTGGCAATGGCTGTGGCAGCGGCGGTGACAGTTGGCGGGGCGGTGGGTGGGAGGGAGGGAGGGTGGTAGGGAGGGGAGGGGGGGCGGAGGGAGGGTTCTCTGGTAAAGAGAATTAGACGCGTAACGTCCAGGCGCATGGAGAGATATTTTTCGTGCGTGTATTGCAGCGTGCGTGTGACGCCCACTCGGACCCTCACTTACACCGCAATTAAACTAAATTTTCATGGTCAAGGCTTAAGATTATATTGATAATTACGATATGAAAGTGTGACTTAACTGAAAAACTGACCTAGTCCGAAGCCTACAACATGCAAATATGCCGTTGTATTGTGCTTTTCGGCTCGAGTGTTAGCTTCGAGCAGAATCATTTCAACGGACATTAATGTTCTCTTCATATAATTTTCGGCGTCAAATATTATTTGACCCGTCAATGGTACGTATCTCTTATCTCTCAATTTTACTCGCCGCATTGCCTCGTCGTATATCAGAAGATAGTCGTCTCCGTAGAATCTTGCCCATACGCACCGTAGACCGCGTTTCTCTTCGGTCGTGCCTTCGACTGGAGGGCCGTAGCTGTGGGCAAAAGATAATGAGATACTTTCTTTTAACGACAATCCTTAATTTGCAAATAACTGGATCTAAAATTTGATAATAGAGATACGGTGTGAAAATTCATGATGGAGTGCGATGTCTCATTATACATTAAGGTAAGCTTCTGCATTATTATCGCCCCTACTAAGGATTTCAATTATTTCCGAAATAGAAATAGCATTTTAATATTTGCATGCGCGTGTACGTTAAAGTTACGAATATAAATGTGCAATAAAAATGTGTGAAACATAATGTTGTCATCATCTAGCAAGACGCTCGTTCACTATTGCCAATGCAACTTGTCATAAAACGTGCCAAAAATTTGTAATAAAAACGTTTTATTGGTACTTTTGCACAATGCACAAGCTCCTAAGAATCTTGAATAAAAATACACAGAGAGAGAGAAATATTGGCTAATTATCGACGACAATGAAGCAATTGTTTCAATGTATTTGGAAAAAGCTCACCCATTGTCCATATTATTCTGCAGATGCGTAACAAGTATATCCTGATATTCCATAACACGAGGTCTCTCTAACCTACCAACAACAAATTCCAAGGTTTATTCATTAATTTATAACTAGTCGCGTATTCTCGCATTAGCTTTTGCTCCTTGTTTCTCTCTCACTCTCTCTCACTCTCTCTCTCTCTCTCTCTCTCTCTCTC